TTAACAGACTGCGCCACCCCGGCACCCCAACATGTTTCTTTAAAGAGTAAGTTCCACTACTAATGATTTGACTCCTACACATTTACTTCCCCATGTTACAAACACTGCCACTCCATGTTTATGTGTGGAATACACTAATGAACTGAATTAACTTCATCCAAATCTTTCTCGACCCTTGATATATAACCTTTGAAAAATATTAATACTATTCAGATTCTAACATTTTAGTATCATTAAAAAAGTATTTAACCTGTATGTAATATGGCATTTGAAACTGTTGAAGAAATAACAAATCCGTTTGTGCATGTTGAGCTGTTCTTATGGGTTTAAAAATTCGTCTCAAAAAATAAATTCCCTAGGCAGATGCAAGGCATTATGTCACGTTCATATGGACACACATCCCTAGGTCATACATGATATACTGGTGAAATGGAATATTTCCCGCTAGATGTATTCTTTCTCTTAGTAAAATTGAACTATTTATGTGAAAATAACTGTCCACAGTACACTCGTTGTAATATTAACATAACTAAATCAATGCTTTTTCCCTCTTGTTACATTTGTGATTTTCAAGGCAGCAAAGTCTAATACAATTCTCACACCTCATTTACCTCTTAGGGAAAATAAAATTTTCTCAAGTTCCAAGATATTTGAAGCGATGCAATTTACAGAAGCAGTAGGTAGAGTGTGGCTCTCGGTATTATTTACGTTTCTTTAGTAGTAACTTAAGTTAGCAACGTCTCTTTTTACGTCCAGTGTACTCTGAGTAACTCCTTACACGACAAAAGCCAGAAACAAAAATTGCCTCCCAAGGATTTGGGCTGGCGGTGAAACCTCAGGGATTTGTGTAGGAAGAGCGGCGCAGGGTCCGGGAGGGCTCTCGGCTCTCGTCACTACTCGGCTCGTCTCGGTTTCCTCTCGGTTCTTGCTCGGCTCTGTTCGGCCCCTCCTCCCACGGGGCGGGGGGTTGGGGAGACAGAGAGAGATAGAGACAGAGACAAGGAGAGCGGCGGCAAGTTCGGCGCATGCGTTCACGTCTGTGGCTGCTTTTAGGGCCGTGCTTTGCTGTGTATTTTCACTTCCTTCTCTTCAGAGCTGTATCCGGGTCGTTGCTTTCTCTATTGTCTCAGGCAAACGGCCTCGGACTTTGCGAATTCTGGGTCTTTTGTTGCATCTGGTGCAGGCTAATAAAGTTTTTCTTTCTTTTCTTTTCTTTTTTTTCTAACAGTTTTGACGGAGGAAATTTACTGCCCGGGGCTGCTGGGGCCTGAGGGCGCCTCTGACAGGGGAGCCGTGGGAAGGGGCGCGAGCTGCAGGGGCCGGTTCGGCGAGGAGTAGGGGGCGGGGTGGGGGGCGGGAGGGGACCGGGGCCGCTCTAGAGGCGCCCGGGTCCGGTCGCTGCACCGATTTTAAGTAGCATCTTTCGGATTTGTTGCCGCGGTATCAGTCCCGACCTCGGCGCTGCCTGGGCTCTCGAAGCCTCTCCCTAGGTCTCCTCCAAACGACCACCTCACGGATTCCTTAGTAAGTGTGTCGGAGGCCTCCGGCGGGAGAAAGGTGCATTTCAGCCCTTCTAGAAGTCAGGGCCTGTGGGAGCAGGGTGGGGGTGGCAGATTCCTGCGGGAAACTGGACCTTTTTTGGACCTTCCACGTACACGGGAATGAACAGGCTTCATTACCTGGGCTTTGCGGTTTCTTTGTATTGACTGTTACTATATCTAAGTGAGGGATTATGAACAAGTGGCAGAAACATAACAATGTGCAAGAGGGTCAGCTTCGCTTTTGGCCGGCCTGGGTTCGCCTTTGCCGTACCCCAGGCTGGAGCTGTAGGTGTTGCTGCCCAGCCCTCCCCAGCCCGCGTACCCACCGCGAGCTTCTTACACCATTTGCTGAGAACTGAATTAGACAAAGATTCCCTGCACGAGGTCATCTGTGTCTTCCCTCAGCATCACAGGTGTCTTCTGCCCTTGGTGTGATTATTAATGACGATGTAATGCTTTTCTCTTAACAGTGGATCGCAGCTCCAAGAGGAGGCAGGTGAAGCCTTTGGCAGCTTCTCTGCTAGAAGCTCTCGATTATGATAGTTCAGATGACAGTGATTTTAAAGTTGGAGATGCCTCAGGTAAATGTTTCCTTCTCTCTTCCCTTTTCTCAGCTTCCTGGAATTGGGCTTATTTTCAGAGCCTATTAAAAATCGGTTTTGATTTAAGTGTCAATTTAAAGTTAAAGCACATAAACTTCATTTATTTTGTCCATGTGATTTCCCTAAGGTTCTTTTACTAGAACCTACCGTTGCTTCTGTTTATGTTGATACTCAGATAATTAGCAGGCAGAAAAAAACTTATTCCATTGATTCGAAAGCATTTTCTCTATTCTTTACTCAAAAATGTATTTATGCTTATTTTATGGATAGAGGGGAAAAAAAAAAACGAGAAGTATTGCGAAATCAATAAATACTCTGGGAGTATCGTGAGCCATATACAGCCCATGAGCAGGGTTCTTTTCAAATCACTTGACACCCTCTGAGGGGAGTTTTGCTGTTTGTCTGTTAGCTCCCTTACCAGAATAAAATTAGCCAGTGTGAAAAGTTGTACTTCGTGGTAGGTGTTGGACCTTGTGGATTGGGCCTTCCAAACAACTCTGAAGTATAAAGATACATGTTTGCTCATTATACTTTGTGATTCTAAAAACAGTAAACTTTAAAAAGGTCATATATTCACATACTAAATGGAAAACAGAAAAATATGGTTTTCCATGGTATCTTCTGTTTATTGTGCTTCATGTATATAGTTTTAATTGCAGGAATCTGAGAAATGCATACAAATTGTGTTTATTTTATGTGAAAAATACTAATACACACGAACAATAAAATTATTTTAAATCTGTCCCCTTTTGTTGGAGATTTAAATAAAATGAGAAGTTAAAGCCTTTTCAATTTCATTCCTTTAGTATTTTTAATATATTCTTCCGGAGAGCTTTCTATACTTAGTCCTTTCTCTCTCCTTTCCTCTGGTTTTTCTTTTTTTTTTTTTTCTCCTGCTAGGGATGGTAGGAGATGAAATTAGGTTGTGTTGTTTCTGATATTACTTTCAATAGCATCAGCAAGTAGAATTTGCATTGTGATTTACTGAGAACATTTTATTTCCATAATCTCATTTAACTTTTATAATAACTTAATGAAGGAGATACTATTTTACAGAAAACAGGACTGAATTCAAAGAACTTGCATGGGGTCACTTAGGCCATAATGGATATATTTGACTCCAAAATTTAATAATCTTTTTACTGCTTTGATCCTAAAAGTAAATAGATGTGATTTTAAACTGAAGCTACCTGGATGTTATGACTAATTGAGGTCACTCCCAACAGTCAAAAGTTAAGTTTATCTTGCCTTTTAATCTTTGCTTCTCAGCTACTTTCTTTCTCATTTAGTCAACTCACTGATGTTTGGTCCCTCCAAAGAAGGGGAAAAAAAGGGACGGGAGGTAAAATCCAAAACTATTTAAGTTCTCTTGGTGAGAACCTTGGTAGATAAGAATATTTTTGGTTAGAGTGTAGTTTTGGTCAAGGTTGTTAACTGTGACAACAGTCGTTGGGTCTCAGAAGTTATGAGTTATTTGAACACCAATTATGAAAAAACTCTAAAGCCAAATCTTTAAGTGTTCCATAATTGTTTCTGTGACAATAAATCCTCACTTGGTAGGTTTTTTTGTTTTATTGAGATGTAGTCATTTACAGGTATCACTAGCACTTGTCTTTACAAAGGTTAAAACGATCTAATGATACAAACTACTTTCTCAAGATAATTTTTGGTATCAAGCTAAGTATAGATTCCTGATCTTGTAAATCTTAATCAGAATTGATGGGAATTATCACTTATGTATGAAAAATGGGAGGATGAGTTGTTAGGCTGATAATTTTTTTAAAAATCTCTTAAAAACACTAAAAATATGTATACATTCTGTTCCCTCTTGTATCATACCTAGTCTGTTCTATTTGTAATTTACTTCTTTGGCCCCTGTGCAGTTCTTATGCTATTGTAAAGGAGATTATAGTAGAAAATGATTTTGTTTAAAGTGGTTAATAGCAATTGAATCTTATTTTCCATTTTTGGTTAAGGTGCATTCGTGTCCCTCATAGCTGAGGTGGTGGCTTACTCTAGATTACTAGTGTTTCCTGTTTGTATCCTTTCTTTGCCTGAGGTAGTTGAACTCTTACAAGAAACAAGACATAGATTCTTCGTTGGTTTTCAGTCATGTTAGAGTTGTGGGATCCCAATCCTATGTATGAGTAGATGAAACTGAAGTGGAGAAATAGCTTACCATCTGTCTGATCAAAGCTTTTAAAAGCAATGTCTAGAAATGACTTGTTGAATGAACTACTGACTCCCTTAGAACTTAATATTAAAATGATTAGATTGGTTGGCCTCCATTTTTATTCATGGGATTCTGTGCATCAATTTCTTTTGCTCTTCATTTTGAATTCAGAAATTCTGGCTAAAAAACTTCACATTTCTGTTTGGCTTTGAGAATAAAGACAATTCTGAAAGATTATATTCAATACCTTTGCAGGTAAATGTAATTTTATTCATGTAGTTCTCCGTGATAAAATACAAAAAGGTAAATATTGATCAAAAAATGACCTGCCAATAAGATTGGCAAGTGATGTTAATGGCCACAAGTCCTTTAGAAAAGTACAAACTGAAAATAGATCATCTTTTGTTTTTTCTTTAATGTGAAATTAGAGCTGAATTTCTTTTTTTTAAATACTTTATTTTTAAGTAATCTATACATCCAACATGGGGCTCAAACTCACGACCCCAAGATCAAGAGTCACATTAGAGCTAAATTTCTCATTTTTGGTTGAGGGCAGTCAGTAAATAAATTGTAAAATTAATAAGTCTTAAAACATTAGAATTATGGTGATAACCACCAGAAGAACCATATGTAGACATGTTAAACTGAACCACATAAAATTACCATTTTAGATTATTGGCAGTTTTATCATTTAACCTAGTTAGACTGGTTATATTTGAGACTTGATCCTAGGATTGGGGTTAGGACAGATTACATTTAGTAATCTGATCAATGTTTTTGAAGATGAGTGCTTGTATTCCTTCTAAATAAAACAAAATAGCAGTGTTGTTTCCACTAACACACTGGCCAAGGTAGGATGATTAACTTTAGATCTTGGGCCATAGTTAGTTTAGTTAGGACAAATTGCCAGAAAATAATTTACCTGAAGGGTCAGGCTGCTACTTTGCTTTGGTAGTATTTTACACTTAATCTAATTTAGGCTAATTGGTCAAGATATGTTTATTGATCTTTAGTTTTGTTTAAAAGCACTTTGCTGGATATTATGGTGATTTCACAAAGAAAAGTGATGATATTAAAATAATTAAATCAGTAAAATGATGCAAGGCATGATTGATTACTTGTGTAGTTTAAGTCAAGGAGATAGGACTACTTTATCTAGAACAATTCATTGAGGAGATGAGTTGAACTAGAAACTGAAGGAGAAGCAGCCTAGGTGAGGGAAACCTTAATATTAGAAGTGTGGAGCCTGGAAAATGTCCAGGGGATTGGGGATCTGGATTGAGTAAAAGAATAAAAGAGATGTGCTTGGGAAAATATAATGAGGTTAAATTGAGGCTTTATATTGCTGGACTAGGGTTTCTCAATTTTTTTTTTTTTTTAACGTTTATTTATTTTTGAGGCAGAGAGAGACAGAGCATGAACGGGGAGGGTCAGAGAGAGGGAGACACAGAATCTGAAACAGGTTCCAGGCTCTGAGCTGTCAGCACAGAGCCTGACAAGGGGCTCGAACTCATGGACCGCGAGATCATGACCTGAGCCGAAGTTGGCCGCTTAACCGACTGAGCCACCCAGGCGCCCCTAGGGTTTCTCAATCTTGGCACTATTAGCATTTTTGTTACATAACTCTTTGTAATGGAGGCTTGTCATGTTTATTGTAGGATGTTTAGCAGCATCTGTTTTCTACTTACTAAATGCCTGTAGTATCTCTTCTTCCTTCCACCGCCACAGCACCCCTGTCTCTCATGGTGACTATTCATCCATTGCCTCTAGTCATTGCCAAATGTTCTCTGAGGGACAGAATTCAAATTGTTCTTACTTGAGAACCACTGGTCTAAATTTACCCAAAAAATGTTAAATGACACAGATAATGAATAGAAGAGGAGTTGTGTTGGTTGACTGGTTGACTTTTTAAGAAGGATGTACAGGATTAGTCAAAAATGGCCTCAAGGAGATAACTGAATAACCTGTAGACTGGTGTTCTGTCTATTCTGTATTGTGTATATTTATAAATGCTAATCGCTATTGCATTAGATCAATGAAGGGAATAGTTAATTAAGGTTGATGAACAAAGATGATTCTTTACATGGCAAAGGTAAAATAAAACTGAGTCAAATCATACCAATTTTATTGTTTAATATTTATCATGGGGAGAACTTAAGCACTGAATATTGTGAAAGAATTCTTGAAAGTTGTTTTTTAAAATCTGTGTCTGTAAAAAATTGCTTAACTGTCAAACAGCTATTGTTTCGAGAGAGAGTTTGCTATATTGTGTATTTGAGAAAGGTTACTTTTTACTTAACTGAATAGAAAAGAGGGATTTCAATTTTAAAGCTTTTTTCCTAAAAAAAAATAAATTTATTGAAGAGTTAGAATTGCTTCTAATGCTAAGTATCTGACTTACGTGATGTATCTGACTTATTTCTCTAGTCTATTATTACCTTTAAAAAAAAAAGATGTAAGAGTGATGGATTTGGAACTTGACAGAGTCATTGTTTGAATTTGTAATAATAGGAAATTTTTCTTTGCAGCCTACAAAAATATAATTATAGACAAAGACTCTGATTTTCTCATTGTTATTTTTGTCAAGCTATGTTTGTAACTAAATATTGTTTATCTCCATCCCTCAAGTGCATATGTACCAAAAAGAAGTGATGACTAATCAGATGTGAAGAAGTTATTTTTCAGAAATCAAAGAAAGATAAAATTTGATATAATCCTGATGCCTGCAGTTGGAGTGTGAATAATGTATTGTATTTGGAGAATGAAGGGTTGGGTAAGCTACTAGGTTTTGGATTTGTGGAAAAATTTCAGATTCATCTAATAATATGTTAACATATGTAAAGCATTTAAATCTTTTTTCAAATTGCTTTCTATTCAGACATGATTATAAAACAAAAACAGAATCAAAGAGTATCAATTTCCCTATACATTTAAAAATAAATGATTGGCATTGGCAACAACAACAACCAAGACAAAATCATAAAAATTTTTAACATTTTGTAAAATTTACCAAGCAATAGCAAAGTTGGATTGGTCTCAGCTTTTTTTTTTTAATTTTTTAATGTTTATTTATTTATTTATAAACATTATTTTTAATATTTATTTGTCTACCAGAGGTAGACAGAGTGAGAGCAGGGGAGGGGCAGAGAGAGAGGAAGACACAGAATCTGAAGCAGGCTCCAGGCTCTGAGCTGTCAGTGCAGAGCCCAGCGTGGGGCTTGAACTCATGAAGGGTGAGATCCTGACCTGAGCTGAAGTCAGATGCTTAACTGACTGAGCCAACCAGCTGCCCCTAGATTCGTCTCAGTTTTGATTAGGTACCCACGTTTGTGCCCCAGTTAATCTTACTTTTGTTATCTGTTGTTGTTTTTATTGGTAAAAATTATTAGGAATGCCTTTTAGGTATTTCTAAAAAGTATCTCTGGTAATGGGGACCATCTCTCTTAATTATGGCATTGCTTGCAAGATGTTCCAATTTTCTGTAGTCAGTATGCACAAAGACTCTTTTTTGACTTAGAAGTGTTTAGTTAATTCTGCTTATTATTTATTAGATCCTTATTTTAAAATATCTAGAAATTATTTTACCATAAGTAGTGTTTCATTGTAGGTTGGGTTTAATTATGAGTGGTGTTAAAAAAAAATCACAATTTTCTTAACAATTTGCAGAACTGCTGGACTGAAAACAAGTTACCTGGTTGTGGGTGATATTCTTTATTTTTCAAATTCAGGAAGCTCACAAATCCAAAAATGTTTCTTAAGTTTGGTACACACTTGTTTCATGGTAAAACCTAATTGGAACTGATAGTTTATTTGTAGTGTTGCCTTATCGTACTTATCATACTTTTTAATGCAGATACGTGTTTCATTATAGGATAGTGCCACAGACCTCACTGGAGATTTTAGTGTAATATATTGTGTATATACCATGTTACCCTTCTAAAATCTGAAAAAAATCAAAATTTTGAAGGACATCTGGCTCCAAAAGTTTCACCTAAGGGATTGTTGACCTACATGGTACTGCCATTGTGTTCTATGTAAGATTATTTAGAGAGGTTCCTCCCCCCACCTGCCACAGTTTTGAATAAGTCTTGGGTTCCTGCATGGTCATCTTGAGATTGACAATTATTTTGTAGGGTCAGCCAGTATCTATTGTATGTTAGTCTTTATTTTTTATGTGATTTAACTTGCAGGATTTTTTTAATCAGTCATTTGTAAAGTATTCCTAGGGTATTTTAGATACTTGATACTAATTACAACTTTCTATCTTTTAATGCCCAGTTAATTATAGTGGCTAAGGCTGGTTAACAGAAATTAAAATGGTGTGGAAACATAGACTTTTTTCCACCATTTTTATTACCCTTTTCTTGGTTATATGCTCAAAAAATTTATCACTCTACAGATTTTGCTGATGGTGTTGACCACGACCTGATTATGACTGGTTGTTTCTTATTTCTTCCTGTTCCTTTCCTTTTTTCTCCTTTCCTTTATTTTAGATTTTTATTAATTTGATTAGGTATAAAGAGGATTTGAAGGTTACTGGGTAGTGTTGGTCTAAGACAGCCTGGCCTGCCCTCATCAGGAGTGGAAGAAACTTGCCAGAAAGCTTGAAGTCCTGCATGAATTCTTTAATATTCTCAGCCTATCTTTCTAGTGACTACTGTGGTTGCTCATTTCCAAGATAGATTCTCTTTTTAAAAAATTATTAATTTCTTTCATTCTGGGGGCTAGTGTAGTTACTGCCTAGAATTTTTGAAAGTTTAGGTGGCTCTTACTGATAGGAAAGGTATCCTAATAAGCAGGAAAATTTATAACAGCTCTTGCAACTTCTATTAACTGTGCTAGTGCTATTGTCTCTTTTCACCTGTGAACTTGGTACTCATAAAATTGATTGATATGTTAGGGATGTTGACTATCATAAATACCTGTGCTCATTTTTGCTGGGTAAAGAGTGAAAGAAATGAAACCAAGTTTTTTGGGCCAGATTTTTCTTGTTCTGAATGTGACTCAACACTTGTAGGTTCATACAGTTTATGAAAGGAAGATGGAAGAGAAGAAGAATTTGATCTGTATTATATAATTAAGTTAAAATTAAGTGCCCAATTTAAAAAGAAACACCTTTACTTTTAGGGGAAAAAAACTGTTTCTAGGGTACCAAATATAGCATGAGCTATATGACACAAAATAGTGCTCTGCTTTTTAAAGCATGTTTTAATTTAGAGTTACATATATTCATCTTCATTAGTGCTATATTGAATTAAAACCATTATACCAACTTCATTGATTTATTTAATCAGGTTGGGAATGTCTACCATTCTTTGACTTAACTTTGTTTATATTGTTTTGCAAGTTGCTCACAAATTTTGGTGGTTTCATTTGTGTCAGCGTTGTGTGTGTGTGTGTGTATGTATATACATATGTGTGGTTTTTTTTTCTCATATTTTCAACAGATTCTGAAGGGAGTGGTAATGGAAGTGAAGATCCTTCAAAGGACAGTGGAGAAGGTTCCTGTAGTGATTCTGAAGAAAATATTTTAGAAGAAGAACTGAATGAAGATATTAAAGTAAAAGAAGAACAACTTAAAAATTCTGCAGAGGAAGAAATACTGTCCTCAGAAAAACAGTTAATTAAAATGGAAAAGAAGGAGGAAGAAGAGAATGGAGAAAGACCTAGAAAGAAAAAGGAGAAAGAGAAAGACAAGGAAAAAGAGAAGGAGAAAGAAAAAGAGAAAGAGAAGGAAAGAGAGGAGAAAGAAAAAGCGACAGTATCTGATAATGTGGCTGCTTCTGCTGCTTCTACCACACCAGCCATAAGTCCTCCTGCTGTTAACACATCTCCATCAGTCCCCACTACAACAACTACTACAGAGGAACAAGTCAGTGAGCCAAAAAAGTGGAACCTTCGTCGAAATCGACCACTTTTGGATTTTGTATCCATGGAAGAGCTGAATGATATGGATGACTATGACAGTGAAGATGACAATGATTGGCGACCTACTGTAGTAAAGAGAAAGGGAAGATCTGCATCTCACAAAGAAGGAAGTGATGGAGACAATGAGGATGATGAAGATGAGGGAAGTGGAAGTGATGAGGATGAGAATGATGAAGGCAATGATGAAGATCACAGCAGCCCTGCCAGTGATGGGGGTTGCAAGAAGAAGAAGAGTAAAGTTCTTAGCAGAAACAGTGCTGATGATGAGGAACTGACCAATGATAGCCTGACACTATCTCAAAGCAAGAGTAATGAGGTAGATCAACCCAATTTTTATGATATCTGTCTGTCTGGGGAAAAGGGAATTCTTCTCTAAACCATTCTGCTCGTTATATTAAGTAGCTTCCTTGAAATCCTATTTATAGACAGTTGTGGGAGTGAATGAGCACCTTACTGTAACATTTATTCATTTGGTCAGCCAGCCTTTATTGAGTATCTACTATTTGTCACCGTCCTCAAGGAGCTCACAATCACCGTCTTCAAGGAGCTTACAGTCTATATAGTTAGAGAAATATTTTTATACCCATAGACTAGGGAAACGGTAGTTTTCCTTTCCCCTTTCTATTCTCTCATCCCATTGTTCATAGGACTGCTGAACGGTGCTCAGTGAATTATGGAAACAAAGGTCACCTTTATTTCAACTTAGTTATATCCTGTATCCACATGAAAATTTAGATTTCTAGAATAGAGTAGGACAACAAACAGCTTAATGATTGCCTCAGACTTTTAGAGACTCACTTTAAGGTTACTTCCTTTACCAGTTGTAACACTCATCATCTGAATAGTCACCAAGTCTTTGCTTTAGATGTAGGGGAGTATATGTATACGTATATTTAGTGAATAAGTTCTGTCTGCAAAGAAATGAAAAAGAAAAATCAAACATTCCTGTCATAAAACAAACATTTCTGTTATAAAACTACAGTAATGACTCCTTCCACTTGAAGTTCTACTACCGAAAGTTAGGTTTATCCATTGGGCCCAAGATGCAACATTCAAGACTCTTCAGTCAAACACATCTATGTCTGTTTGTCTGTGTGTTTATGTATATGTTTTTCTTCAAAAGAAAGATTGAGTTGTCGTCTTACATGTAGATGTACCTGTTACATCAACATGTAGAACTATAATTAAGTCTGTCATTTCTGTTAATGTGTTTATTGTCATGAAAATTCACTTCTTTAGCAAGCACTTTTTTTTTTCTTCATATCATTGAAATAGGGTAAACTGGTAGGGAGAATTTCCTTGTATACTTTATTCTTTTACATTACTTCTACTTAAAAGTTTTTCATAGCAGTGATTACCTATTTTAAGTAGGTTTCATTTAAAAACTTGGTAATTTTTCTTACTAGAATACTAAGTAACAGGCTCTGAGTGGGTTATATGCTGGTAGTGATGAAATAGTTTATATTTTAAATTATAAACATTAGCAAACTTCTGGGTTATCCACTTTCATGTGAAGAATGTTGCCTGCTTCCAGTGCTATCCTAATTCTTATATTTAGGTAATGGAAAATTGTCATTTGGAATATGATATTTACAATGCTATAGCACAAACAGTTCCATATTCCCAGTGCCAATTTAGGGAAATAGAAATATGGAAAAATCAGTTGTTCAGATTTGATTTAGGCTTTATCCAGTGTATTTTTTGATTTGATTTGATTTAGGCTTTATCCAGTTTATTTTATAGTATTTAGTACTCAGTTTCTCTCAAGTTAGTAAGTTTACCTTTGGCAGCATCACTTTCTTACTTCATTTTTATTAGTCTGACGTTCACAAAAGTAGGCTGGCTCACGACAGAGGCAGAGTTAGATTAATGGTAAGGTGCGGAAAATACCAGCATATGTTTAGAAATTTGCCACATAGAATGTATACATTATCTACTTGTTAATAATCTGTAATACATAACATATTGCTTAAGAGGTTGTAGACTGTCCTTTATGGTACATTGGAAGGCCACATGTGCTATTTTAGGGTTTTTTTTTCCTACCAGAAGAGACTTTAAATAATGGGACTTTATAGATTTAGATTAAGTCCCAAAGAAATGAGATTCCGGAGTATTTCTTGGAAATGTGCCTCAGTAAAATTGTCAAGAAGTTGCTTATAGTAGCTAAATTAATTTCTCTTGTGTTAATTTATGTTAATTTTCCTTTTGCTGTACCCCCTGCAGAGATGTAGAAGAACTGATAGAAAGTTAGTTTTCCCTTGATAATATTCTACCTGAAAGCTTGGTGACTATTTTTCCCCAAGAATCTTCAGTAATTTTTGATAATTCTATTTCTATTTAAATGTTACTCAAGTTAGATAAAAAAAATTAATAAAAACTAATCAATGGAGATTATTATTTTATATTTCTGAATTTCATGTTTATATGCTCTTGATTTTGTAAAAATGACTAAAGGTAATTCTTATTGTCTATGGCCATTGTTTGTATCTTAATCTTCCCGGTTATTTTAGGTAGTGATACCTTGGCAAGTATCTATTAGTTAATACATATATATTTGATTATATTCAGAAGTTTAATTTTTCTCTGCTTTTATTTTAAGTATTCAAATATTACTTTGTAGTAGAGATATATTTAGTTTATAAGCAGCAAACTTTCTTAGCTGCTATGTTAAGTACTTTTGTAGGGAATTGATGTTGGACATCCTGTAAATGATGCCCAGAAACTTTAATAAATTTAAAGTTTTTTTAGGGGAATTTGATTTGGGGGGGGGGGGCTGGGGACCTTTTATAACTACTGACTCTTCTTTTTAATGTTTATTTATTTATTTTGAGAGAGAGAGTGTGAGCAGGGAGGGGCAGAGAGAGAGGGAGAGTGAGAATCCTGAGCAGACTCTGCACTCTGGGCACAGAGCCTGACCTGGGGCTTGATCTCATGAAACATGAGATCACGACTGAGCTGAAACCAAAGAGTCAGGTGCTTAACCGACTGAGTCATCCCTGTGCCCCTTACTATTGACTCTAAAAGCCTTAACATGCTTTTGCCATAGGCCTTGAAATACTCTAGAACAGTGGTTTTCAACTGTTTTTTGTCTCAGAACCCCTTTATGCTCTTAGAAAATCATTGAGGACCCCAATGTAGGTTATATATTTTGTTATTTACCATTTCAAATTAAAACTCAGAAATTTCAAAAAATAAGACATGCAGAAGCACACCAGTTGTCAGATTGATGACCCTATCCCATGTTATGTAGTTCTGGAAGACTACATTATATAACCATGAGAGAAAGTGAAAAAGGCAAATAACTTTAGTATTGTTATGAAAATAACCTTTCTCTTCTGGACCCTATGAAACAGAATCCCACAGACCACACTTTGAGAACTAACGTTTTACACGTGGGCATTTGGTAAACCTGCAGTTTTACATATGGGCACTTGCCTTTGCCTGTAACATTATGACATTTTTGAACTTAGCATGGTTTAAATAATCCCCTTGGAATATGGTTATATGTCTTCTTCAGACTTTTATCTTGATGCTTTTAGATTAATTTATATTATGTTCCTTTTTGGTTTTCTGAAGTAAATCTTGGTGATGGGTGTGTAGCATTTTCAGAGAATGGTTCCCATTTTTAGGACTTTGAAGTGAGAGCTTTGGTTGAGAATTAATATTTGATAGAAAATCATATCATATTTCAATAGAAATTTTCAGGTGAAAGTTTTTTGGTTTCTTTTTATAAAATACTCTTATGTTAAATGGATTAGATTAGATGTTAAATGGATGTGAAGAAATGGCAATTGTCATCTGACTTTGGTAATTAAAAATTTTGCCAAAATTTATAAAGAGCTCCTTCTATTTGGGACTTCTGACTTATTAAATATTAAGTGCCTTTTTACACATTTCAATATAAAGCAAACAAACTGCTTTAAAACCTAAAAAGACAGTTTGTAATATTGTATTTTATTTGAGATTCTTGAGGATTTAACTTCCCTAAAAAACTTAGGGGAAGACCTGTTGCTCAAACTCTTTGGTATACTATTTTTTTTTCTCATCTTGAGAACAAGTGGATTCTTTTAATTCTAGTTTTACATGAAGTGTGCTGGAATTCCCTTAAAA